TGATATTTTATGACCTCACTTTCACAGAGACTGAGCTCTAAAGATGAATAAGAATATTGATGAGCCCTCCACACACCTACTGAAAGATGTTAAAAAGGGCCTGTGGGGCCCTCACTACTCCTGTGACAATACCCTCTGGTGCCTCCTAGGGATGAGAGCTGGGGCAGGGAGAGCAAGATGGAAGTATCAGAGGGGCCACCTGGAGTTGGTTCCATTTTAATGATGGAAAAACTGAGGCTCCAAGAGCAGTGATTTGCCCACACAGCTTAGCAGCAGAGTAGGACCCAAGTCGTCTGCCTCTAAGCCAAGTGCTCAATCCTTCCCACCAGAGGGCTCTTTCCACCACGCTGCCCTTCTTGGTCCCTTCCCAGTCTGGTTTCCCATTCCTGTGTCTCCTCTCCAGGGTCCAAGTCTACAGCTGGTTGCCTCCTGCCTCCCTCTCCCCCTCAGGACTTGGGAGCTTGTGATGTCACCCGTGGTTGCTATAGAGACATCAGTTAATGAACCAGCCTTGGGTGGAGTCACAGGCTCCTCCTTCCCCAGCTGGGACCAAGCTGAGCGCGTCACTGGCCATTGGAAAAACACAGCCTGAGAGGGATAGAGAGAGGGGACTCAGGCAGGAACATAGCTCAGGGCCCCCTCCCCCAAGATGGGCCTGCTCTGTGCTCTGGGAGCTCAGGCACAAGGAGGGCCTGGATCTCTAGCAACACCCCCCCCCACTCTCCTCTAGTCAACTAGAGGCTTTAGAAGTAAAAGCAATCTTGGCATCCTTTTGTTGATGAGGAACCCAGGACCCAGAGCAGGGTAGTGACTTGTCTGAGGTCACTCATGTAGTTAGTAGCAGACTATGAGATTTAAACTCTAGACCTCTGACTGCCCTAGCAGATCTAACCCATTAACTACAGACCCCCTTTCTGGACTCCTGGCTTAACCCTGATCCTGAGGTCAAAGCCTGACTCTTCTATTTGCTATTTGCCTTTTTTTGTAATCCCAACACTTGGTAAGGTGGCTGGCACATAGTAGGTACTTAATAAATTCATGTTGTCTGAATGAATAACTCTCCTTACCCTTCTCAAAAAAAATGGTAGAATTAAAACTGATTTGCTTCCTGAGGGCACTTAGAGGTCATATCTTACATTCTCCTGCATCAAAGTGGCCAGTTTCTTTCCATTTGTTAAAGAAACTAGAGACAAAAGATGCTATTTCTTTCCTCAGTACATTTGTTGCAGTATGTAATGACCCCTTGACTTGGGGAAGTTCCTCTTTGTGTCTAGCTGAACATTGTATTGCTGTGTGTCTCACCTAAAACCTTCCTTTGGTGACTTCAGCCTCACTTCTCATCTCGAATGGTTGGGGATATGGAAAGTCACTGGTCACCCTCCCTCTAGATAATATTTATATAGTATACAGCTCAGCCTGTTCCTGACTCAGCTCAGTTTCTTTGGGCATCTCAAGGAGCTGTTTCCCTCTAAAGACTTCACAGTCTTTGTGGGGCAGGCCGGGAGGGCTTAGATTGAATCTGTGTCTCTCGCTTACATCAGAGGGTCAGAGAGAAGAAATACCTCCCAAAGTCATGCAGTGGAAAGAAGACCTCCCTTTTTACTCCTGTTCAGCTCACTCACAAAATATCTGAGCTTGAAGGGACCATCTCATCCAACCCTTTGAGGAACAGAAAGGTTAGGTAATTTTCCCAAGGTCACACTATTAAAATTTAAGTCAACAATCTATCATGTGCAAGGGTGCTGAGAAAATGCTAAAGTCAGGATCTGAACCCAGGTCTTCTATCTCTCTTGCCCTACTCTACATTTTCTCTGTTTCCACCAAGAAGCTCAGTGCCCTCTATATTGATTATCTAACAGATCCTAGAACATCAGTCCTAAGAAAGGATGGCCACACTTCTGCTTTCAAGATGGGGAAGTGGGGACTGTTAGCCTTTCTACCATCATCATGACAGCAGGTCAAATCACTTTCCTCTCTCTCAGACCTCAGTCTCCCTTTCTGCACAATGGGGTCAATCTTTGCCCTCCTCTTCCCCCAGGCCCCCAAGTGAGAGGGAGAGGATGCTGCCTCCTCCCTCTGCCTGGTGAGTCACTGCCACAGGTGCAGAAACCCAGCCTGGCATGGCGGCTTGGCTGAGAACAGCCTGGCTGTTACAAATCTTCTCTAGCCCTTGAGAAGAGATATTTATAGAGTGATTGTGCAGCTCCTATTGCTTTTCAGAACCCTTGGCTCAGTTTTCTGCAGCAGCAGACACCCATCCTTCCATTTCCCCTCCCTGCCCATCCCCCTTCCCTCTAAATCTGTTAGGGTTATAGAACAAGGACAGATTCGTGTTCAAATCTGGCTTTGGACAGTGACCAGCTATATGACCTTGGACAAATCATTTCACCTTTTAGAGCCTCCATTTTTTCATCTATACAATGGGGATAATGATGTCTGTAGCATTGATTCTTACATCATTGCCATGAGGCTCAAATGAGATGTCTGTCTACACATCATTTTGCAAACCTTAACAGTGCTATAGAAATGTCAGGCATTAACATATTAACATCAGCATATTTTTGGCTCCTTCTATAAACCATTCTGGGGCAACTAGGTTGAACAGTGGATGAAGCACAGTCCTGGAGTCATGAAGGTTTGAGTTTAAATCTGGCTTCAGACACTAGCTGTGTGACCCTGGGCAAGTCACTTAACCCCTATTTCCCTCAGTTCCTCATCTGTAAAATGGGCACACACTGGAGGAAGAAATGACAAACCACTCCAGTGTCTTTGCCAAGAAAATCCTATGGACAATCTCCCTCTCCTCCTTCAAAACACTGCTTTAAATTCACCTCCTTCATGAAGTCTCCTTGGATTAACCTGATTTAAGCCCATCATACCGACACTTGAAGATTCAGTTTGTGCTAAAAGAATTGAACTTATTAATCTACTGCTTTATAAATGTTCTTGGCATTTCCTAGAGTGTATGTGATACGTCCTGTTTCTCCAACTCAGTTCAGGAGCTCCCTGAGGTCAGAAACTGGGCTTCTCCTATCAGATGAGTGTTCCTCAAAGGCAGGGAGAGTCTTTCTCATTGGACTGGGGACCCTCTAAGGAGAGATGGGAGAGGGGAGACTCAGAGGCCTAGTAGCCCCCTCTCAAGATGGGAGGAGCTCCAGATTCTTGTGATCTCTGGTGAGAAGGGTGACTCTGGCTTGTTTGTAGCCCACTCTGGGCCTCAGTGTACCTCTATGCTCAAGGGAAGACCAACTCCGCCTTGGATAAGTTGGCATGGAGAAGGCAGGAAGGAAGGCTCAGCTTCCTGGGTGGAAGGGTAGGGAGAAACACGGGTAGCTGTGTTTTCCACTGGCTACCTTGGGGATGACCTGAGGCCAATTTGCACCATTACTGGACTGCCTTTCTGCAATGTCAACCACTGTACTCAGATAAATACCACCTAGCACATACAAAAGACCATAGAATGTCTAAGTCAGGAAAGAAAATATTAAAACATAGAATATCAGAGTTGGGAGGGCCATTAGAACACAGGATGTCAGAGCTGGGAGGGCTTTGAAAACAAAGAATGTCAGAACTGGGAGGGCCCTTAGAACATAGGATGTCAGAGCTGGGAGGGCCATTAGAACACAGGATGTCAGAGCTGGGAGGGCCCTTAGAACACAGGATGTC